ATGTTTTCTCTTCATGTTTTGTTTAAAATTTAAACAAAAGGAAACTATGTAACCAAATATGGAAACAAATGTTGGAAAAAGATTGTTTCCCAGAAAGGCAAAAGTGCCAATTGAATGGAAATTAAATATACACAGTCCAAATGACATTCCCCTTGTTGCCTTCTTATAAAAATATCAGCCATTACGATTTCAGAAACTACTTGTTAAACCATGGCCTGGGCATACCTGACATACCCATTCATCCTAGCCTGCCTCAGCTGAGTATTGGTGTGGACATAGGTGGACAGATCCCAATATCTGGGTTTAACTGCCCACCCAATCCCTGCAACTGGAATGGCCAGCCAGGGTCAGCTGACCCTTTTCCCCTTTTTATAAAAACTCCTGACCCAGAAGAGGAAGTGCCTGAGCAACAAGGCTAAACATTGTATCTAGGTTTCCTCATTCTCAGCTACCTAACCTGACTTGCCCAAGGACTCTGAGTTCGACCTGACCCTTTGGCTCCCTAACCCAACTCTGGTTTGATCTTCTCCATATCTGACTTAGCTGTCTTCCTCACTGTGCTTTCCCTGACCCTCTGGCTCTCTGACTCAGTTCCTCAAATGGATCTTCTGGCTTCTGGCTTCCTGGCTTTCCTACACTTGGACTCTGCACATTCCCCACTGACCTTGGTTGCTTCTTCTGACCTTGGATGACCCCCAGACCTTCCCACCTGTGACCCAGCATTACACTATTTAAGCTTGAGCCCTGCGGCTCTACGCTGCATCCACATTTTTTTTTCCATTCTGTTTCTCATCTTCCCTCTGTATAAGATGACTACTTCACACATTGTGGTCTGACTTCATTCATTCCTCCAAATGATGTCATTCAGCCACAATACTGTATACTCCTAATTAGACCTTTCTTGGAAGGATGGAAGTAATCTGTGCATACTTAACTGACTACAGAAGTTTGTAAAAATAATAGCACCAAACTAAGAAATCAGTGACACCCTAAAGCAGAGATGGCTGCTTACTATGTCACAGTACTTCCTCCCACTAAATATGTATGATCTAACATTCATCTATCTATATATCTAATATCAGTTCCATTACCATTGTATCTGAGTGCCTATTTTTCCCTAGATGTTTGGACACACCTCAAACATTTCAAATTTGAGGGATGTTTAATTAATTACACTTCTGAACTTTTCAAGGTTTGCTCATCATTATGTACTAGGGAGACCCATGCAAACTAAGTCTGTGGCAGCTGATATCAAAATCCTTATGCACATGAGCCCAGTCTGATTGGGTTGCACTTGCGTACATTAGCTTTATTTGGATATTTGCTGCACAGGGAGCACTACATGTGTGAGACAGATTCTAGCACAAATAAATATCTTTCAGTTACAGAGCTTTGTATCACACTGTTTCTGCCCCTTAGACTAACCTTATGCCATGCCTCAAGGCTCCTTACTGACTCCTCATTAAAGCACTACCTTTGATGGCTCTGCACCAGACTTTAGACAAGGAATTGTACAGGAACATTTGGATGAGGGTGATTCTGCCTCAAGCAGAGGGTTGAACTAGATGAACTCTGGAGGTCCCTTCCAGCTCTACTTTTCTATGATTCTGTGATTCTACCACACAACTCTACTGTCACCATTAACTCTTTCTGTTACCAGGCACATCATTTTTTCAGGATTTATTCATCCAAGCACAAAGTAGTTCCCCTCTTTTACTCTAGGTTTTGAGGAAAAGAATAATTGAAGACTTTGAATAAGTGGAAAATGGGGGAATACTGTAGATCTAATCTATCTGATGCTTAGTAAAGCCTAAGCTTCTGTACTACATGGAAAATTATTAAACAATTGGATGGATATGGGAATTAATATGGAATTGTACTGTGGGTAAAACCTGGTGAACAAGAAGACAATAATGAGGGGAAATATGGACGTGGAGAGAAGTTACTAAGTCCTTATGGATCAATCTTATACTGATCTTACTTTATATATTCATTAATGATCTGGGCATAAAATATAATGCATGCTAATGAAATGCATTGGTAGATGTCACTAATACAGAGGAGGATCAGAATATCAAACAGAAAGAACTACATGATCTTAGAAATGGAAGTATAGAATGAGATGAAATCCAAGAATACAAAATTTAAATTCATGCATAACAAACATTTTTGCTGTAAACTGGGGAGATTATGTATGAGGTACACTACTAGTCAGTCATAGAATGACAACAGTTTACCAATGGGAAGCAGCTTTCAAAGGGGAAGTAGAGAAGCCATAAGGTGAAGCAGAGAAGAAAAAGAGAAAAACTAATAGCATCATGCAAGACCCTGGTAAAACATCATATAGAACAAGTTCAAAGGGCTATTATTATCATCAGGGGAATAAGGAGATTATATTCATTTGAGAGAAAAGTAAAAAATCTTGACTTGTTTAACCCAGCAAAATGGTAGCTGAGAGGGGACATGATTGTTTTTTCTAGATACATCAAGGAATGACTAAAGTGCAGCTTGAGACTAACTCTTAACCACCTATTGTGTAGATCAGTGGTTTTCAACCGTTTTTCATTTGTGGACACAGAAAAAAAAATTGGAATGAGGGTGCAGACCTCTTTGAATTGTAAATGTAGGTATTCACATACCTTTGATGAATCATAGTCATCTTTCACAGACCCCTTAGACATAGCCTGTGGGTGCCCAAGGGTCCACGGACCACTAGCTGAAAACCACTGGTGTACATAATATGGTATTACCCCCAGTGGGGCATGTATATAAATGCCCCACTGTATGAATAAGGAGATGTCTCTGTCCTTCCAGAGGGCAATCCTACTTCTATATTATGGGCATTTAGGCACCCAAAGCAAGCAATGGAGTTAGTCTCAAACTGCTGTTTGTTTGTCCACTAGGCAAAATTGGATTCTACCCAAACTGAACAAGGATAAACTTAAGCTGCAAAACAGGAGTAGACTTCCATGGCACAATGTGTGCTCTGTAGACACACCGAACCTAGTTTTCAACAGACCTGCTTATTCCTAAACACTATATAACTTTGTTAGCATGCTGCTCTTCTCAGGTCAGTATATCAAGCTTCTCACTTGGACTAATTAGTGCAGGTGAAGCATCACACTAATACAGCTCTACTTTTTCTAGTACCCAAGCTACCTTGGTCAGCAGTGGCTTGGATATAGCCTTCCACTGGAAGAAGTAGTGAGGGGCCAGAAACCTATCTGGTTTCAAAATGCAGTTAGATCAAGAAAGAAATTTACAACGTCATTGCTGCAAAAGCAGGGGATTGGTTTTAATGGCTCAGAGGCTTCCTTCCAGTCCTGTTTGCTATGTTCTTATAAGAAACTGAACTGAATCTCCAGCATGAGAGGTTCAAATAATGATAGTCATAATTAATACTGCCATTCTTACGGTACTCTTTTCACTGAGGATCACAAAGCACGTTGAACACACTTGCAAATTAAGCATTGCAAGCAACACTTAAGTGAGGCAGATAATTTTCCTTAGAAATATTATCATTAATATTTGTGATGATGACAATGATGATACAGCCAAGGAAATTGAGGTTTAGAGTGTTTCGGTTTTTCAAGTCCATGGGGAAAATCTGTGGAAGAGTTAGGAATAGAACCCAGAGTGCCCCTGGCTGTTAATAAGCATCCTATAATCATAAATATGACACTTTAAATTATGTTTCATTTTTATTCAACACTATATACACTGTGTGCAATTGCAGTTTTCAGAGCTATGCTATTTAGAGTAAAATAACACTCAGAAAGTTAAGAAAAAGAATTTAATGCATGTGTATGCACTGCATTTAGAAAGAATGCAAGTTCACATAATGAGAGAGAATGGCCTATGAAACAGTATATGTGTGTCCTCAAAATCAGAATGTTAAGATATTTCCTAGACATTGAATAACATAGGCATTAAATATCATATTCATGTATTTAAAAACAAGAACCATACATCCTGGAAAATGTGTTCTGGATAAGCTGGAATGTTACCAGTTCCATATTTGTTAATTCCTACTTCAACTTCCCTTTGGACATGTGCCAGGTCTAGGGTGGGCTATGAAGCAGTTATGTCTTTGCTGTGCTCCCTGTCCTGATACAATTTCCTTCAAAATCTGCAGAACCACAACCACATAGTGTTTGCATTGAGTAGCATCCCAGGGCTCAGGAGAGAGAAAAGCATGCCATATTGTCTCAGTTCTTTCTTTGCTGAGAGCTTAATGTCCTTTTCAACCTTTCCCCCCCTCCTTTGCCCCCCTCCCTCTATATATTGGATGGACACCTGGGGCCCTTTTGTTTGAACCAGCCATTGATCTGCTCACAGTACAGCATGGAAAGAATCAGGTATATTTATTTTGAAGAAAAGGAAATGAACGAAGTACAAGACAGCATTTTTTCAGAGTTAAGAGGCTACCATAAAAAAGAGGGAAAAAAATTGTTCTCCCTTGTCATAGCAGGCCTGACACTTGACAATGTGTCCAAACTTCAGTAAAACAGCTTAAGATGAAATGAGATTCCCTAATATATGAACAGTAGGACAATGGAACAAGCTGCCTCCATAAGTAGTGCAATCTCCTTCATGGAGACTTTAAAGAAGAGGCTGGATAGATGTCCATCAGACAGGTAAGAAATAGCAAATCCTGAATCTGTGTAGGGACAGGACTCCTCCTTTGCCCCACCCCCCCTCACTCCCCCCCTCCACAGGACTCCTCTTCACAGGACTACATGGCCCTTGAGATCCCTTTCAACCTTAAGATTGTATAGGCACCTATACACAAGCAGCGAGGTGGCTCTGACGCTCTATAATTACAGCGCATCAGAACAAACTCAATTGAGTCTGCTACAGCATGATAATTACCATACTCCAGCAGACTCCAACATCTCATGTATCAGTGTCCCCACACTTAAAATGGTGGCAAGAGCACTTTAACTAAAGCATGTTCAATGAGCTTTAGTTAAAGCACTCCTGCCACCATTTTTAAGCACAGGGATGCTGATACATGAGATGCTTTGGGCACTTTAATGAAAGTGGCTCTCGGAGCCACTCTAATAAAGTGTCCCCCCTCCCCTACCCCCAGAGTATATGTATAAGTGCCGTGTGATTCTGAGATTCTTTCAATAATGAAGAGAGGCAGTTAGCCATGCTAACCATGTCAGCCAAAGCGTATGGCAGGATGGCACCTTAGAGCCCTGCCTTCAATAGCAAGAAGTGTAGAAATAAAAAGGAAGAGATAATCTCACAGCCTCTCCCACAGAATTCTGCCTTGCCCTTCCTTATGCATGGTTTGCTCTGCACCTCCTCCTCCCCACCCCCACTACACTCCTAAAGCTATCATAAAGCTAGTGTTGTCTACTCCTTCCAAATCTTACAAGAAATCTGACAAAATGTAAAGAGAGAGAGGAGCAACTGCAGCAGAGCGCGGAGAGATGAGTGAAGAAAGTAAATATTTGTTTCTCTAAATAATTACAAATCTAAATATGCATGTATTTAGTTAGCAAAACAATTATTTTTGTATATATCTTGTATATTGTATATAGTTGTTTGTCTTCTTCATCCCAACCTTCATATGATGTCACTTCCCTAGAATGTAACATTTCTATTTCTAAAAGTCCATGTTTTCATGAGGTTTCGAACAATAGGGCCCTGATCCTTGTACTACAAAACAAATAATAAATAAATCTTGGTAATTTACATACATAGAAAAGACCAAATTCTCCCTATAAAAATATATGCTCTGTTTAAGTCAGAGGAAGTTGCACGTGTGACTCTGACCACAGAAACTGGACCAGTGCCCACTTGTAACAAAGCCATGCATGTGAGGACAGAATGGAGCCCGTTGTCTCTTGGCTTTTTCATTTTTCACAATGACGTGTGAGGAGCACCGCTCAGCGCTCAGCGCTCCTCACACGTCATTTCCTCAGGAAGAAGGGGCAGTGACTTTCCTCCCATTGTGTGTCCCACAGAATCTTTTTTGAGGCCCTGTGCCTCTACGTTGCCTCAAAGTCTGTTGTGGTTCCTCTCGGCTCCCTCACAATATGGCTCAGTTGGATTTAGTCTGGTTGCTGCTGCTCCGTAGACCTCCCTTTAAAGTCCAAATGAACTACAGAATTTAATGTAACTCCAGATTGTGTTAAATCTCCATCGGCTTTTCTGCAGAGCTTTAGTGGGATGATAAACTTCCTTCACAAGGTCTTTGTCTCCTGCTTCAATCTTCGTCCCTCTCCAGTTCCACAGAAGCAGGTCTACAGGACATAGGACAGAAGGGCAATGATGTTAGAGTTTACTCCTGAACATTTCCATATGAGTAAGGAATAGGAGTTTGGGGCTGCAGTTGTTTGCTGTTGTTCCTGAATATATTTCCATGAGTAATATCTTTCATGAGACCTCACCACAGCTCAAAGTGCTCTACTTTTCATTCAGCAGACAAGGTTCTTTGGGTGAATCTGATATATTTTATTAGACTAATTTAAATAGTTGGAAAACAATTTTAGCTCGGAGTTGGTCCAATTAAACCCTAAACAGGAGCTGATTTGGGAATGCCATCAGTGACTGGCTAGCTAAGACCATGAAATCAAGAGCCAGTGCCATTGCCTTTGCTCTCTTTATTCTTTGTGTCCTTGCTAACCATGTAATATTAGGAGTTATGTCAGAAAGGCTGATCCAAGAGGCTAAAAATAAATGCCCAGTATTTGTGACTGGCCTTTGGTATCTTTGTTCTCTCCGATTCTCCAAACCCAAATGCTAAAAGGCAAGATGTATCCATTCTGGTTATACATCCTCTCTGGGAGGGAAGCAAGCATTCAAGAATGGGAGAGAACCTAAAAGAACAGTCTAATGCCTGGTGACAGTCTGGGTGCATTGATGCTGCTCTACCACCATTTAATAACATTGTGCAGAGAATGAAACATCAAATGAGCCGTTGTTTACTTATTATTTTCAACTTCAATGTTCATCTGATACACAGTAAAGAGCTTGAATGTAACCACAGCAGTGGCTAGGAGGTGCACTTCACTATGAGCTTGTGGGAGGTCTCGTGCCTAAAGACACTGAGGGATTTTGATTTGAAATGCTCCACTTTTTTTTTTTTTTTAAGAGTTATGGGATTTAATTAAATTGGTGGTCTGCTGGTTTTTTTCAGTCAGAAGTTACACAGTATACTCTCTTTCTGTCTCTCCCACCCCCACCCCGCTTTCCTTGCAGAAGGTTTTGCTAGGCATGTACATCCATTTCAGAATTTAATCATAGGCAACTTAAATCTTTCCAATATTACCCACATTAGTAATTGCAAAATAATAAACATGACAAAATTCAGATTAATAGGACATCCAGTGTAACTCCTATTGAGGGGAGAGCCCTCTGGAATTCTAACCATAATAGGTCTGTGTTTATTTCTCAACCAACAGCATAATGTGACTGATTTACAAGAGTTTAACTCAAGTGTTAATCTGACAGTGACGAAGAGCTTCTCACTGGCAGAATCACTTACACTATCATATTAGTTGCCTCCTCTATTAAAGCAGTGTGGTCGATAATTGCAATGCTTTTATGTCTAGTGGTTCTGACAAGGCTCTCTTTAGGTCACATATGGGCGGTCTAGCCTGCTGCACAGCTGAACAGTGGCAAATAATTTAAACTGAGAAAGTATTGTTCTCCTCGTATTGTGGAGCAAGGGCAGTTCAAGGAAAGGAAGGCTCTGCAATGGCTACCTGCTGATGTGTAGTAAAATAAGATGGACATGATACTGGGTTGGGAGTACAATTAAATCTATTTTGCACCAATGTGTTGGTGGACAGATGAGTTTCCACATGGCAGAGCTTTATGATCTTTAAGGTAGACTGAACTAATAGATTGGTGTGGAGCGCACTGAAGTTACTAAGGATGAGAAAGCAAGCAGCAGTACATTTGAACTACAGGTTTCTCATATGCTCCACGTCATGCTGAGTTTTTATAGCTCCTGGCTTTCAAAAAGCCTGTTTCAAAGAGGTTTGCGCTAGACTGGGCATGCAGTTTTGCTCTGCAGATATTGTCGCTACCGATTTAGTGGAATGCAATTAGGAAGCCTAAATTAAGTGGTAATGGAGAACCAGCTCTTGAAACTGGGGTTTCCACGGCAACCACTGCTTACAATACAGCCTTCAGTTAGTTTTCCCACTTTATCTGCAAAATGCACAATTGAGCTTTAAAACAGCTTTGTGCTGAAAAGCGCACTGTAAACAACTGTTTGCAATGAGAGTTTTACACTGTCTTTAAATACAACAAGCTATAAAATAAAATTTACTTGTCCACACTAATAAAAAATCTGTGCAGTACAAAATACTAAAGGGTCCAGAAATTTATTAGTCATTTACAAATTTTATATATAATGCTGAGAAAGTCAAGGTCTTCCAATTCTGGAACTTGTCTCTTAAGTCTTGTAATTCTCCCCTAATTTTAACTCACAAAACTCTACATATCTCATAAACCCCAGGAGTGACATACATTTGGCATTTCAGTGTAAATAATGTATTTATCACAACAGTAGTACTGTGCAAATATATAATGCTTTTAGCCCTGATATAAACTAAAGTGTACATTTTCCCCAGGTTTCTTTCATATATACTCACTTTAACAGATTTCTTTTAATTTTTCCCTCTGTGATGTATTATTGCATCCTTCACAGATTTTTTTTCATATTTTTATAACAGAGTAGTGGTATTCCCTTTCTGGATTACTAGACTTTTTTGATGGTTTCTAGGCTATAGTTTAACTTTTGCATCTGTTCATATATAACCTTTTGTGCCTCACCATATTCAACTTAATGCAAAGTGAACAGGATAATTTTGGAATAGTAACTTTTATTGCCCATTTTTGTATAAAACAGCCCCTTCAAACTGAATCTTGAACCTGAATAACATATTTGTATTACATTGTTTTTTCCTTCTTTGTGCATCTACTAGTTTAATATTATAACTATTAGAAAGTGATGGATTGCCAGCATTTATGTATTTTGGCATTCATTTTCCCTCACTGTGCTCCTTTAAGTATCTTTCTTAGTCAAAGGAAAATCACAGAGAAAGAATTTCTTTGACCATCTAAGGAAAATATGTCAAACTAGTCAATTTTTTGGCCTACTGGCTTTATGGTATTCTTTTAAAATAGTATTCTGGAAAAAAGGTAAAACAGCTTAAAGATCATACAGCTAGTCAAAACACACACAATTTTTTGTCTCAGATAAAATGCAGCAATCAAAGCAGCTTGCACTGTTTCAAGGTTGATGTACTTTGTGTGTGTTATAGTAACCATGGTGGGTCAATGCAGAGGGGGGAGTGATGGTGCCTTTCACTAATGAGTCTGTTGGTCAGAGGACTATATCTTGGCATCAGCAGTCATGTATGAATCTAGATTTGATATAGTCTCTGTAGACTTTGAATGTGCCAGGCAGGGAAGCTTGCCCTTCACAGTAAGGGTTTACCTTCAGCAATGGTGGTCACATTACAGGAATTCTGATCTGTTCAAAACCGTCTGTTCAGTGCTGACCTAAAGCAGAATTAAGAGGGGATAGCTTATTGGAAAGTTCACTTCTCTTCTACTATGCGCTGTTGCTAATGGGAGCTTCTACTGAGATGGTTAGGTAATAAAACATACAGCTGCAGAGAATATGCAAGGTGAACAAATCAAAGTAGTAAGTAATAAAAATGATGTGTGCGCCAATATTTAATATTACTTGTGAAAATTGTTGAAGAAACACATCTTTGCCATATATCAGAGATTGCTCTAAAGCTAAATCAATGAATTAATAGGGCTATTTGTAATGATATTTTTCTCATAAGACTTTATTATTAGGAATCAGAGTTTGAAATTATAATTTCTTTAATGATTTTTCATGACACAAATTATCCTGCCTCAGCACAACCGTCTAGGAGGCAAGAGGAGAGGTTGACTTGGTTGCCTTCTTCATTCTTACACAAAATCTGCTCATTTGGCCTGCTCCCAAATTGAAAAGAAACAAATTCCTGGAAGAAACACAGAATGCCAGCGCGTACAAGACTTTCACAGGGCATCCTGTTTCAACACGGACTGTCTGTATTTTGTCGAAGTACTAAAGGACACATTGAAATTATTTTGTTCTGGCAACAGTGTATATTGTGATGTGTATGCATTCAATTGCACTTGACAAATCTTTGGGGCAAACAGAACAGTCTAATGTAAGGAAATATCTTAGCATATTCCAAAATGACATTTTTAGACCAAACATGTGTTCAATTGATTTGCCTTCTCCAGAGATCACATTTGAATGCAGGCCAGTGATAAGTATGGAAGCAGCCTCACTCCGAAAGGCATACAGGGTCAGCAGTACTTCCGATGGTATTTCCTGTGCTGCAGAGTTCTATACCTAACTGTACAAATAGCTCCACATGGCATTCTGATTGTGTGCCAGAGAATTTTATGATCACATGCCAAGTATAGTTGTCAGGTTCCACTCCACTGCTGTGTGTGTATATGTGTGTGTATGTGCGTGTGGCTAGAGCTAACTTCAGACTGAGTAATTACCATAATCCAAACAGGGCCTTTACCATCTTATTTGCATTCAACCAGCAGTGCTGTTTTTATCAGCACCACTACTGAATTGTTGCAAAGTTTTAATTATCTTGATAACTTTTTTTTTTTCAGTTCATTCTTTTTTTTCCCCCCTCAGTCTGTTGCTTGGATTTCAACAATCATCCGCGTATGCCAGCAGCTGCAATTCTAGAATGAAAAGTTTTCTTGTTTTTTCTCCCCCGCCCCGAATAATTTATAGTATCCTGGATTCTGAGTCAGATTTTTCAGTTTAATTAATTAATGCCTCATGTTTTCCTCAATAAGCACAGCTTCACACTCATGATATTTTACATCCTAATCCTGCAAAAGTTTGCTTACAGAAGTAGCTTTACACTAGGGAGTAGGTTCGTTGAACTCAGTGGGACTACTCCTATCCATTAAGCTGCACCATTTCATGAATGTTCACAAGAGCAGAGCTTTAGTTGTCATGTTTCCTGTATTTCCATAATGTTTTGATTTAGGATTAGTAAATATGTGGAATGGCACTTACATTTGCTCGCTCTCGGACACTATGCATTTTCCGAATTAGAATGCTAAGTTAAGCACATCCAACATTGAAAGAAATATAGTCTCATAGTAATAAACACTGGCGCACTGTACCAGGAAGGTTATGGACTCAGTACCACTTGGAATTTTATGAGATTAGACATCTTTCTGAAAGACATAACTTTACTCAGCTTCTGGGGAAAAAATGACGGCCTCTGTATACAGGAGGTCAGTTTTGATGATTCTGCTGGTCCCTTCCAGCCTAACAGTTTATTAATCTAAGAAATATAATATTTGGCAATATTTAAAATCAATTTAAACTTCAAAAATAACCATCTATTTCCAGAAACTCTTTCTTGAGGAATATTGTAGCGGAATTATTTTGGGAAATTAATATTGCTTTATGAGAAGGGATTCCTCCATGCTGGTTTTGTTTTAAATGTTTAAAAATCACAAAGGGTAATGCGCACTGAAATACTTTCTGTTATGAAATTTAATAAGTGGGAAAAGTAGCCTATAAATGGAATTGGTCCATGTTCTGCCTACATGCAAAAAAGTGGTATCTGGTCCTTTTCTTTTTCAGGTGAAGTAAACATCTTAAAAAGAAGCACAATAAGTATGTTTCTAGGCATAGTGTATTATAATTGTAGCTTTTACCTCTTCCATGAGGTTCATGCATCAAATTATATCTAATTGCTACCAAGCAGTGTACTAGCTGTCTTATGAAAAGTAAACAAATACAATTTAAAAGTCATGAGACACTCGTTTTGCTATAGTTTTGCCTTTATAGACACCTTATGCTTGTTTGCTTTTTGAAAAGAAAAAATTAAAGATAAGAATCATTAGGGATTTCTCTTTAAATCCAGCAATCTATGCATACTACCAAGAATCAATGCCCTGTAAGCTGTCTGGTGTTCTGCAATAAATTCTAGCTTTTATAGACTTTTCCTGGACCAGGTAGCTGCTAATGCCATAGAAATTGATTATTTGTGGTGTTCTTATCACTGCTTAAAATATCTAATTGCTTTTTCTCCACAGATTTGGATTTGGCTTGCTTGATGCTGGACGATTAATGAAGGAAGCCCTAACTGGACAAATGTTGGTCTCCCGAGACAATGTGTTGTTGATAACAGGTCTGATCTGAATGAGTTGAGTCAAATTTGATTTTAATAGAATTTAAAGGCACACAGAAGACACACTAGCTTTTTTTTTTTACTTAAGTCTGCTGTGCATGAAAAGTTTATTTCTGCAAAGTATTAAACTTCTCAAGAAGGTGGTTCTGGGGTGAAACTGCAACTGTGTGTGCTTGGCTGCTTTTTTAACCAGCTGTGTCTAGAACTGATTTTATTCATTATTATTACTTGCATGGTTTTATTGCTGTCCTTATAGAGGAATTACTAGATTTTAAAAAATCACAAAAAAACAAGAAGGTTTAAGGTAAAGGAATAAACACTTCCCTTCAGAGACCTTTGAGGTGGCAGCAACTGACTTGAGAACAGGTTGCTACTGCCAGCATCTTTCAGATTCAAGAAGGACTCTCTCTCTCAGGTGAGCTAATCCTTAAATAAAAAAACCTAAATGCAGCTACTACTACTTTACAGACTATTTTGTACTCCCTGAAAGTCTGTTAACTGCACATTAGGCCATTGAATGCCATATTTCTTCTTTAGAGGATCACTCAGTTCCCAGCAAGTGTGCCATTAATTCATGAGAAGGCAAATACTAACGGTTCTCCATTGCATAGATAATCATGAAAAGTAGTCACTGTAATATTGAATCCTTTCTCTGAGCACATCGCTCTGCTCAACCTCAACTGCATAGCCATAGCAAATCCTAAACAGGGAAGAGTTTTCCTTTTCTGCTGAACTCTTCTAGATTTATGAAATGGCCTCGTTCCTCATCAGGATGCAACAGAGCCTTTCCAAGATTTTCACAAAAAAATGAACTGGAGAGCTCTCTGAATAGCCACAAGCCAGATGCTTAGGGCACTCACCTGTGACATGAGAGGCCAAGGCTCACATCCTTGGTCTGCCATTTTCCTGTAGCTCAGGTGAGTGCCTAACTAATCAGGTATGCAGGAGTGAGTCTCTCACTGTTGGTGCTGTTCCACTTCATATAAATTATTTAATATTCATTGTAGTGAAGACTTGCACATGGGTTTCTTACATTCCAGGGCTACAGAGGCAGTTTTTCTCTGTCCCAACACAAATTTAACTATTAGCACAAAGTGGGACAGCTCCAACAGGAGAGGGATGAAAGGCTGGAGGTTAGGGGCTGCAGTGCCTAACTTTTAGACACCTGGATCCCTGTATTAAGCATTTAAACTAACCCTCCATGGGGCATAGAGAGAATTAGATGCACAGCATGGGATCCTTCACAGCTAGGGGGTTAACAAAGCTGGCCAATAAACAGTGATCTCAGAGAGGTGTTTTTGGTATCCCAAGCCTCTCTTTGCCATAGGCACCTCAGCCTGCTCAGGACCAACAGCCCAGAATCCACTCTTGAGAGTAGGATCTAACAACTTATCTTTCAAAAGAGTAAGCTCTCTTTTCTTTTATGACATTGTTGCCATTATGATGCCAACAACTGTAAGCTTGTGTAATGGCCTACAAATTAAAGCAGGTGACTCTTGGCTCAGTTCCTGCCTCAGCCTGGACAGCATCAAACCTGTATCTCACACCACCCTTACCCACAAAGTCATAGTCTGTTCTGGGTGAATGTGTTCTCTGTTCCCTCTATTGAAGTTGTGACACTGTACAGAAAATAATTCAAATTTCATTACACCAGATCAAAAATGGAGCATAAGGAAAAATCTTTGCTCTGTATCCTAATATTTAGGTCCCTCAAGTGGAAAAGTTGTGTTGTGTAATAGTCATGCACCCCCTGCTCTGTCACTCTCTAGCCCAGTGAATCTTGCATACCTTTCAAACATGACTGGAGAAGGGGCACAATTAAGCTGGTAAAGAGCAGGTCTTGTGGGGTAGCTGCTTTCCATACAGCTGTCCCTCCAGCAGTTCTGCAGGGATTCTCTATCTAAGCTACATCCTTGTGGGATGGAGAACCTTCTTTGAATCAATGTAACCAAATGAAAAGCATACCAAAGGAATCCATTTCTCATTATAGTACTTACTCTAGGCACTACTCAAGGTGTGATTAATTAGGTGTGATTAATTAAACTACAAGTCATGACCTCCTTTTTTTTTCTTGTCACATACATATAAACAAGTGGACACTCCGTGAAATTAAATGGCACAGGGTAGTAAATTTACATGCAATAAAAGAAAATACTTTGTGCCTGCCTACAGTCAACCTGTGGAATGTGTTGCTACAGGTGATCATCTAGGCCAGCGAGTCTCAACCAGGGTGCTGTGAGGTGCCACACAATATTAGCACTGCTAGGTGTGCAAATACTTACACGTCATTCATAAAACAAACCCAGAGACTTCACATAGGCATCTATCGTGTCAAAAACATTCTGACCTATTATAGTCTCTGTGAATTCTTCACAACAGGACTTGCTCTATCATTTTTCTCTAGTCAAAAAATGAGTGAAAGCTAAGAGCTGACATTTTCCAAGGTCTGCTTTGAGTCTAATGAGGGGTGCCTTGAGCCTAAAAAATTGACACAGACAAACAGGTTTGCTGGGATGCAAAGAACACTTCCTAATTTCATTACCAAAACCAATGGCATAGTTGTATGTTCTTTGAATGCACAGGACACATGAACTTTAATGGGAGTTTTGGTTGTGCTAGGAGTACAAGTTAGGACCTGGTTTGTTGCTGTGAAGCCAAGCAGTCATTAGACTAAGCCAGGAAGGGTCCTCCATCTCACTGTGCTATTGGCTGAGTGTATTTTGACTCTGATCTGGCTTCACCTTGTTTGTTCATTTGTTTTGTTCCCTCTCGGGTGTCCTGTATTGGTCACTGCTTTTGGCTGGAAAGGCAATTCTTCTCTTTCTGTGACCTCAATATCTAAATTGGTTAATAATAGTTCTCCAGGAAAGGCTGAAAATAGATTTGAGATTCAGATGTACCTCTCTGATGAACCATGGTTACCAAAGTGAAAACTGCTCATTCCTACAAGCACGAATAAATGCCATCACAAATAAATACAAGCTTTGCAGCCTTTCTTGCTAGCAATTCACTCATTTTATGGTGTCATAGTTAGGCTGGAAAGCCACCCTGGTCTATTCTCATAATTGACATATCATTAATTGCTAGGGTCCTTGTTCAGTCCTGGTAGTAGCAAGGTACTCTCTTATTTATTCAGCCTAGTATATAACTTATAGCAAGATCCTGTGTAATCCAGTAAAGTACTCAGAATTATTATGTTTACATATTTTAATCACTGTAAAGTAAGGAGTCCACTCATAATCTAATTGTTTTTGTTTACTGTGTTTCTCATTTTACAGAAGAGTTCATAGGAAGGTGCCTGTGTTACTGTGTTCTCAATTCACATGAAAAGATTCTATAACATTCTTTTTTCTCAATTATGAAAATACTTTCCTGATCTCATTAAGCTTAGATAAAAAGATTAAGTGGTGTTTTTGCTTTTTATTTGTGACAATACAAATTAGACACACCTATGATGAACTAATTACTATGTTTATATTTTTTGTACAGAACAAGCTTGTTAACTGTGAACATGAAGAGATGAAGTAAGCAAAAACAAAGAGAAGTGTGGAGCCTTGCTGCTATTATTGTCTATGATATGCACGCACACTCTGTGCTGCTATACTCTCTCTCTTCCATCCCACATTTTCAGATTTTTGGATGAATGGGTAAGTAAAAGCATAGTTTGGCTAGACATGTTTTTGTACTATAAAAGCAAAAGTAATTTTTAGGTGAAGAAATTTAACAATTGTAGTACAAGAATACTACAAATAGAGCTTAATTTTATAGAGCTTTTAAAAAAACTTGACAATTACATACAAATATTATTGTAGTAAGGACCAGAAGTTGATATCCTTGTTCTCATTGAATATTACTTATTCTTCATAGAGTCACATTGAAGTTATTTGTGTATATAACCATTCAGTGATGAGAGTCGAATGTTCATAATCTGACTTTAGTTACTCTGGATTTGAGAGTTTAAATATTCATACTAACTTCTGTTTCTTTCAGTGTTGTGCACCAAAGTTGTATACAAAAAGTTTTTATGAGCTATCATTTTATTAATTCTGGATGCAGTAGATATTACCACCTTTGTTTCTGCTGACTTCAAATTGCTTGAAGTTTTAATTATTGTGATTATAACAATATTGCATAACTGACATTTCACACAAAGAAATTACATCAACTGTGAACCACTTAGAATAACAGCAGACATAACTGATTTGTGTCAATATGGCTATAGCATATTTGAGAGGACAGAACTGGAGAAAAAAAGGAGCATAAACTGTTACCTCCATTCTCTCTGCACAGCACAGTTCCTTCTCCCATTTACATGCCAAGATGCAAACTGAGGTCCCAACCTTGCAAATCTGGACTGAGCAAGTCTCCTTCTACCCTCCTGGGCAACTTGTAAGATTGGTACCTTAGAGAACATGGGGAGCAGGTCAAGAATATGAATAAACATAGTGAATATTAATGGACTTCAACCAAGAATCAGCAAAATATTCTGACTTAACTAACTTGTCTTTCCTCAGTCTTGGCCCAACCACGCAGTATAAACAGGAAATGGAACTTTCTTTCTGCCTGACTTTGAACCACATGACAAAAGCTTCAACATCATATTTTAAGATTAGAGAAAGAAGGAATTGTTGACTGTGGAAGGTAGCTAAAAAAGGGAGCACTAAATAAGAGAGTATAAACAGTGGGTAAAATATGTATTTAATTTAAAAAGGAGATTGAGACCAAAAGGAAGAGAAATGGAAAAAGACACAAAAGCAAGAAAAAAGAAGAAAAAGAAGAGATAGTACAACTTTTGAAATGCTTTACTTAAATTCCGAGAGCAGACTGTATTTACTAACAACCCGACCAATTGTTTTAGCTATTTGAAATCAAAGTTGAAATACCTCACCTTTTGTCAAATGCTGGTTTCCCCGTCATTTAAAGGAATCAGTATGATGGCATCCCTTAAAACAAATTTTGCAATTACTATTCCCTTCATTTAAGAATGCCAGAAACATTCTCCCTGGTGTCAGATCAGTTCCTGAACAAATCTTCCCCGACTTTATTTCCCCGTTCAATTTTTTTAATTCAGTGGTATAAGCATATCATTCAATATGAGCAAAACATACTGTATTGATGCCTCTAATACATTATGTAGTGCTATGATTGTTACTGTTGTGGATGCATTGCCCCAAAACTGTAATATATTGATAAATATATAGTGAAGAATTAAATATATAATAGCTATATGACATTTATTCACAAACACCATTTTTTGAAATAAACCAAGCACTTTTTACAGAAAAATTTTAACCAGCTCTAATACTTATTCTATGCACATAGTATGCTATAGTCAGCAATGACATAGGACCTGTGTAATTATATATATTTAGAGTCCATACAGTTAACCTTTATATTACATTTAAATTAACAATTTTAAAACTAAAGTCATAAATACAAATGGTGCAGCAGTAAGTACAGCGTGACCTGTCCTCTCCAATGACTCAAATGTACATAAAGTAATTGGAAAGATTCCCATTGACTTTAATAGGCTTTGGACTATGTCCAAAATGACTGTAAAATCACATGCTGTTTGTGTTTGTTGGGTTACACCCGTGCTAGAATATTAAAAATTGGAAAAGGCAGGCAAGCTTGCCTGCCTATGCCCTTAGACCAACATGGCTACAACCAAAAACCTTGCAAAATTGGAAAAGTGATTCAAATATTATGTTTTATTTTAGAATTCAAAGAAGCAGCCATTTGTTGTCATGTTGGATGTCATGTGAAGTTGCCGGCTTCAAGGGACTTAAAAAGTCCCTTGCTGGAATTACTGCTCTTCCTATGAAGAAATACCCCCCCCACACAATTTTTTCCCCTTCTTGTAGTTGTTTCTTCTGGAAACATATTGTCAGGCTTGACAGTGCCCTGACAAGCACACTGGAGGAACACAGGAACATTAGAGATGACTGAGCTGGGACCCAGGGTGTGGCTTTGGTGTATGCATAGACTCTGTACATTTACCTCTATGCTACTGAGGCCCAGGCAAATGTTTTGTAGATGCTGGAAAAAGAAAACATCAGAAACAATGACAAATTTGAAACTCCAAACATAAAGACCTATGTACCCTACATAAGGGTGTCCTAACAGATTCCACCTCTAGTCAACATAGAGAGATTTGAAGTAAGCTTAAACAGTGTGAAGTAAAGTGGAATCAAGGCACATAATGGATGGCACCCAGCATACAAAGGACTATAGGATTAAACCTTATTTTCACTCAAGGAACTACTAGTAGATGCTGTTAGAATCCATGAGATTGTGTATTGAGCTTCCTACCAAAGGATCACTAATCCCAGGAGCCAGTAGCTCCACAGGCTCATTCCTGTTTCAAAACTTCAAAAGCCTGAAAAAACTTCAAAAGCCCGAAAGCTTGCAAGGAAGAAGTTTTTCCAACTATTTGAGTTGGTCTAATAAAAAAATATCAGATTTACCCAAAGGACCTTGTCTGCCTGTTTCAAAACTTCTGTTTTATAAATGTATACAAAAATCCATACTAGTATTGAAAAGCACTAGTGCAAGCAAATGAGCTTTATGGGACAGTATATACCTCTCTCTCTTTCTCTCACTGGGTAATTGTATAATTTCCCATCATTGGACTAGCTAGCTGCCTCACACACTTAACGGCTGAAGAAGGGTGTGCCCAAAAGCTTGCAAAGAACAATGTTTCCAACTATTTAGTTCGTCTAATAAAGGATATCACATCTACCTAAAGAACCTTATCTGTCACATGCTTAAATGCATTTACCACACAACACCATTTTATCTCAATTTTGGTAAATGAGGAACTGAAAAATGAGGTGAGATGCTCCAGGAGAGCTGTAGTAGAGCCATAACTGAGACCTGATTGCTTATTCCAATGCCATAGGCCACTGTTTCTCATCAACAAGGACAAAGCATAAATACCAACAACCAACTGGAAAATTTGCTGAATGATAGTGACAGCAGGTAATGCATTACTGTCCCATTGGTCTGCTTAGAGTATAAGGTTGACTGCCCTAGTCTCAACCCCTTCCTAGCTGCAAAACCTCTTTGGTGTACCTTTCAGTACCTAAACGCAGAAATCTATTTTCAGTGTGGTTTTGTGTCCTACTGAAGATTGGAGTACTTAGGTACTGCCGTGTGTGTGCACACATTTATAATAGGATGCATAGACATGAATATATATTTAAATAGTTGTATTTAATAAATATACGTTAATGCAAAAAGAGGTTTGAATATTTTGAATATTTTTTTTTGGTTTATAAAATAGCACAGGCACACAAATAACAGTGAGATTAAAAAAAAGAAAGAAAGAATGGACCTTCTACGTGAAACGTGAGATCAGAAATGCTCACAAGTGGCCAAGAGCTGCTAAATAATTAATCAATAGAGCCCTGTGGCAGTTTGAAATGTAAATGTGATGGATGAAGGTGTGATGCTTGTCATCAAGCAGAAAGTGATGTGACTGGAATGGATAACCTGCAGTACCTGCTGACTGGCAAAAGCTTGGACACAAAGATAAAGTAAAGCCATCAGACAGCAGCCCCGGCAACCCCTAATTCTTGCCTTTGACCCACAATTCGCTTTCATGTCCCTGTCCCAGAAGAGATGTTTAAAAAAATGATGAAGGGAGATCTTGGGGTGAGGAAGAGGAGAGGAAACCATCTAAAGAAATGTTACCTGACAAGGCTGCAGGCTACATACTTAGGAACACCTTTCTTTTCTTTATGTTCTTCTTCTGTAAAAAAATTGCAGCTCCTTTCTTCTTCCCTTTCTTCCCAAATTCTCTAGAGCCATACCTGCAAGTGCTTCTGTGACTCAGAAACTGACAACGGCTGCATGCAAAGGAACAAAGAATGAGAATGACAATTCAGAGTGTGAGCAGGTGAGAGAGACACCTTTTACTTATCAAACTAGGCTGTAAAAATGCTCTTTTTACTCAGTGAGCTAGAAATAGAGCTGATCTAACTAGGCATTGATCCAAATTCTTTATTTGCACCGAGATGTGATGCTAACTGTATTTTTAGGTCAACTAGATGTCTGCAGCTTCTCTGTTCAACTATGGAAGCATAGCTCTGAGTTGGAGAAGGGGGAAACCCACATAATTGTGGCATATTATTCTATGGGAAAATTCACACCACTATGGTAAAGAGTATACAAGAATGTCCAGCAAAAAAAGTCTGTTTTCAGGAAGCTTATGACTTAGTCATGACATTGTATCTGTGTGGAAACTTGAGAAAATACAGCTCAACATGAGAGAGATGCTTTTTTTTTGCTATTTTAAAAATGTTTTCATCTATTCCTCTGTTATAAAAAAGAAAGACTGCAAGTAGAAGTTGCCAGTTCAGTTGTTTTTTCCCCACTACAATCAGAATACTCTTGATTTTCACAATATAAACTAGTTCCTTTTTGAGGTGGGAGGGTGTCTTTTGTTATAAAAATCTACTCTTTTAAGTAAGTGAATATGATGTCTCAACATTGTATGGATTTTGCAAACTTACGTAAATGCACACTAGTAAATAAAAGCCATTTATGATAAAAGCTAAAATAGGCAATTGACACGCAAAAATAGGTGTTATCATTTCTTCAGGACAGAATAATTATAAAAATATTCAGTTAAGAGTTCTTTAGACATCCATAAATACTTATTTACCCTTTGTAGTGGCATAATTAGCCAAGATGCCTCGTGAGTCCCTCTGATCATATACTTCCCTGAGAGATTTTTTTTCTTTTTCTTTTTCTTTTTCTTTTTTTGAGTTTTTAAAATTATCTTTATATTAGCATCATTCAAAAGAAACAAGGAAGTGAGGAAACACAAAAGTGCATAGACAGAAATAAATGAGCTTAGTTTCAATTTCAAAAAACCAAGAATTTCCTACATTAGACTAAAACAGAAAGCCTATTCTACCTATTTCAGAATAAATGCTTTATTTTTAGCTAGCGCTAGATCCGAGAAGTTGAGATAAATGCGTGTAGTTCAATTGAAGACAATGATTTTTAATGTCTCATTGGCTGCCTACCTCCGCTATTTACAAAGGACCAACCATCTTAGCATCTAGGGGCTCATTGTACTGCTCATAGATCATTTCCATACATAACAACACTGTGGTAGATATGAAGTTCAGGTTAAGCTTAATTTTCTCATATTTTTATACATTGTTTTGAACTTGTAAATGTGGGACCTAATTTTGGCTTATACTGTGTCCCCTTTGCCCAAGGTGGCTAACATTTTTGTATACACGCGTCCATATATATGTATAAAGCAATCAGAACTCGTAGTCCATATGTGTATGGTATTTGTAGTTATACTAAGTCCCTTTCACGCTACCTGAGTCATATAATGGAGGTTTTATGTAAACAAGAATCAGGTCCCAGGCATTTTGTGGTGGTTCTGGATTAATAAGCCCAGGAATCAAAGTCTTATAACTCTTAGACTCTTAGCTTCCAAAAGGAGATTGGCCTATTACCAAGTGTGTCTGACTTGTCTTCCTATATTGTTTTAGCAAAACTTTTTGCTTTCCAGGCTCCTATTTCTGCAACTGTATTGCAACAAATATAATGGCATTTATGTTGGTTCCTGAGTAATAAATAAATAAAACCCCAAACATATTTAGGTCCATAGTTGTGAGATTAAGAGGTTTTTTTCCATTCATAAGGCCCGGCCTCACTGGGCAATCCATGTTCCTTTATGCTAGCATATCATTATGCTGTACAAACATATCACAAAAGACAGTTCCTGCCCTAGATTGCTTGCTACCTCAGTAATGTTTCATAGTTTCTAGGGTCGGAAGGGACCTGAACAGATCATCAAGTCCGACCCCCTGCCCTGGACAGGAACAAGTGCTGGGATCATAATACCCCAGCCAGATATCTATCCAACCTCCTCTTGAAGACCCCCAAGGTAGGGGAGATCACCACCTCCCTTGGGAGCCCATTCCAGAGCCTGGCAGCCCTAACCATAAAGTAATGCCTCCTGATATCAAGCCTGAACCTGCTCAATCAATTTGTGGCCGTTATTCCTTGTTATCTCAGGTGGTGCCTGGGAGAACCGAGCCTCACCTATTTTCTGTTGGTCTCCCCAGGTGAGTTTATAGACGGCCACCAGATCCCCTCTCAGCCTTCTCTTGTGGAGGCTGAATAGATTCAGGCCCTTTAGTCTATCTTCATAGTGCCTGGCCTGCTGCCCCCTGACCATGCGAGTGGCCCTCCTCTGGACCCTCTCAAGGTTACCCACATCCCTCTTGAAGTGCAGTGCCCAGAAATGGAGGCAGTACTCCAACTGCGGCCTGACAGGTGCCGCGTAGAGGGGAAGGATCACCTCCCTGGACCTGCTTGTGATGCATCTGTAGATGAACGGCAAGGTACAGTTAGCCTTACTGACCACTTCCTCGCAATGTATGTGCATACACATATCTTCTGGGTATATATGTGTGTATATATATATACCCAGGCACACACACACACCCCCCATATCACTGTGAGCCAATCAGGCATCTGGTAATATACAAGGAGTCTAATATATGCAATTAGACTCCGTGTGTGTGTGTGTGTGTGTGTGTATATATTAGTCTCCTTGTATATTACCAGATGCCTGATTAACCCACAGTGATATGGGCAAAACGTGCAGCTATGAAACTTCCACACTGGAAAACTTTGTTGAACCAAATCAGCATGAGGAATATCTGCTTTTCCCCATACTTGATTTCATATGGCACGTTTACTTGGATACTCTCTCAACACCCTTGCAAAATATACCATGGATCTAAAGCACGATCTCCTTTCTCAAAATGAATGGGTCTGATTACGGGCGTATTCATTTTGTAAAAGGTACAAAAGGATACAAATGTGCCTTTCCATTTCATATAATGTCAAAGTAAGACCCTATTGCCCTTTTATTTCAATCCCTGCAATTTGAAAATAAAAAAATTACTTGATTATATGTTTTTTAACACTAAGTGTATAATTGCTTTTGTGTTTTGACATTTAATTCCTCTTACCAAAATACATGGTAGGAATTAAAAGTCAAAACCTTTTATGTATTTGATGCACAGATCCTTCTGTGTATTTCAATGAGAGGAATAAAACAGGAAAGCCATAAAGCAGGTACAGTGAAACCATCTTGAATGAAGTCATTTTTATCCTAAACAACCTCACTCTCGTCCCAGTTTTGCTGTCTATATTCAAGCCGAAGTCCTGCAAGCATCCTGGAAAATGTGATTCTGGCACAGGGAGAGGAGCCACATTTTGTGGGCTGATTAAAATGATGTGACTGAATATAGATGGAATCAGACATTGCTTATTGATGCTCTGGTGTTAGACTTCCTGTGGAGTAACTGAAGCATTGAGCATACCTTGCTGGGTCTTTTCCTATATCTTTTTTGGTGGTTATTTTCCTTCAGTCTAACTTTTCTGGGCTGTTAAAGTTGTTCCCGCCTCTCCTTCTCCTGCCCCCACCTCTCTCCATGTGTTGTTTTCTCTCCCTCCTCACTCATATTTTTTGTGTTCCTTCCAGCTCTGCACATGCCCTCCTCCTCTGCCTTTTCCTCCCTTTCTCTCTCTCACTCGTGCCTTTGAGCTCTGTCTGCTTCTCTTCCCTTTCAGTCACAACCCCAGTCTCCCTGCTTACCTTATTCCTCTTACTCTATCTTATATTCATCCTAATCAAGTGTTTTGTACCCCAGTGTTTCTTCCACACACACACTACTACGCCTTCACCCACAGGTACACTCTACCAACACCACCTCTCATCAGTTTTGTACTTACAGCTCCACCTACACCTTCTGCCATGCTTTCACATACTGCTCCCCTGCACAGCTCCTTGTAGAAAGAGCTGTGCATTATTTTTCTCCTCCACAAACTAGGCCATTGAGAGAGGGCAGTTTTCCCAGGGAATTGTCTGAAACTAAGGCAAAGGGTAGTATGTGAGCTAGCCAGAGTGGATTAATTTCCAGGGAAGGAAAGAGAGGCCCAGACTGACCTCAGAGGAGCTTGCTCAGAAGATGAGAGACTGAGGATATGTCAAACTCTGTATAGATGTGACTGCATCCAGGTCTGGACACAGACACGCGTGAATTGGGTGGCTGTCCAGGGCCCAGATGGAAAGGGGGCCCAAAAATGATATGTTTATTATTATTATTATCATCTCTGGTAAAGAGGGGGCCAATACTAAAAGTTCGCCTGGGGACATCAAGAGTCTAGATACGGTGCTGACTGCATCTCACGTACACACATTCAAGCTAGCTTTACACTAGCTTGCTAGTGTACTGCTAGCAGGGCAGCACAGAGCTCACACAGGCCAATGGTCCAAGTATTTACCTTTCTTCTTGGAAAAGTTTTGCAGCCCCAGTGCACTATCTTCTGTCATAGCTACACTGTTATCAGCAGCCAAGTCAGCTAAATGCAGCTCAGGCTTGTTTGCATCTTACCTGCAATGTGGACATACCATGAGGCCATGTAGGAAGAGAAGCTGATTAACTGGCTGCTGAGAAAAGGAAAGGAACCCAGATGCAGCATGGACCAGTGAAGTTGGACAAGGAAGGAAAAATTAGGACCCAATATGAGAAGGGAAGAGCTTTTCTGTCTATCTTTGATCTGTGGGTATCTTTATGTAGCACAAGGCATGTGGACACCCACAGCACATGCCATGGTACCAGAGCTAGCTCTGAATGTCTGTCTTTTTTTTCAGTAGGATATGATAACCTAAGTGGAACACTCTATTACTGCAAATTTATTGCTTCCAGTACCAAGACAGCCACCGATACAGATCTAACATGGGTACTGCATTGTGACATGTAGATGCACTCAGAATTATAGCTTCCCAGAATCAGAGCAAATT